TGTGTGGACAACACCATTTGCTGCCCTAGTATCCGTGGCCACATCTGTAAAGCCCCCATCAAAGGTATGGCTCTGAGGAGAGGAGTGGAAGGGTGGGGGGGTAGGGGAGAGAGCACCAACAAGATTCGGCAGACATGTTTGCATCCACCTACCACCCTGTCTGTGAGCTCCCTTCATCTGTCAGCCCCACCTTGGACTCTCCCATCCACCTGGCCCTGAAGATCCCCAGCAACTTGCCCATTTCTAAGATGGGGGAGGAGGATTTCAGGTCAGGAGGCCAGTGAACCCGGCAAAGAGTTTCAGGTAACTGGGCACTAGGGGCTCACACCTGGAACACTAGCAATTCAGAAGGCTAAAGTCTAAGGATTGTGGTTCAAAGCCAGCCCAGGTAAGGAAGTCTTTGAGATTCTTACCTTCAATTAGCCACCAAAAAGCTGAAAATGGAGCCATGGCTCAAGTGGTAGAGCACCAGCATTGTGCTCAGAGCACTCTGAGCACCCTGAGTTCAAGTTCTAGTACTGGACTACACACACACCAAAAAGAAAAAGAAAGAAAGGTGGGAGTGGGCTGGGAATGTGGCTTAGTGGTAGAGTGCTTGCCTAGCGTGCACGAAGCCCTGGGTTTGATTCCTCAGTACCACATACATAGAAAAAGCCAGAAGTGGCAATGTGGCTCAAGTGGTAGAGTGCTAGCTTTGAGCAAAAGAAGCTCAGGGACAGCCCAAGCCCTGAGTTCAAGCCCCAGGACTGGCAAAAAAAAAAAAAAAGAGAGAGAGCCAGGCGCCCGGTGGCTTACACCTGTAATCCTAGCTACTCAGGAGCCTGAGATCTGAGGATCATGGTTTTGGGGGTTTTTTTTGTTTTTTGGCCTGGTCATGGGGCCTGAACTCTGGGCCTGGGTGCTGTCCCTCAGCTCTTCAGCTCAAGGCTAGCACTCTACCACTTGAGCCACAGCGCCACTTTCAGTTGTTTTCTTTTTGCTTATGTGGTGCTGAGGAATTGAACCCAGGGCCTCATGCATGCAAGGCACGTGCTCTACCACTGAGCCACCTTTCCAGCCCTGAGGATCACAGTTTAAAACTATCCCGGGCAGGAAAAGTCCGTGAGACTCTTTATCTCCAGTAAACCACTAGAAAACCGGAAGTGGCACTGTGGCTCAAGAGGTAGAGTGCTTGCCTTAAGCTGAAGAGCTCAGGGACAGTGCCCAGACCCAGAGTTCAAGCCCCACAACAGATTAAAAAAAAAAAAAAGGAAAGGGCAGGGATGGAGGGAAAGAAGAGAAGAAAGGGCTTCAAGTGATTACAGACTGGCTTGTCTCTCCCACAGTCAAGGCTGGCAGCTGCCCCAGGATTTCAGAATTGTCCAGCGCTGAGCAATGTCTGCTGAAGGACCAGTGTGCCCACGATGCTGACTGTTTAGGAAGCCAAAAGTGTTGCAGAAGCAGATGTGCCAAGATGTGTCTGAGCCCTGTCGTAGGTACTCTTAGCACCCTCCCTTGGAGCCCTTTCTTCCCTTAGCCAACTCTAGCCAGCGGCCTCAAGGGCAAGCGCAGCACAGGCACAGGGTTCCACCACACCACCTGCAGATTTCCCTGGGCACTTGATGTGAAGGCTTCACAGAGGGCTTGGGGAAGCACAGGAACTGGCCCAGAAGCTGGTGGGACTTGGCCCCAGTTGGCCTTTTTGCCAGCATAGGCCTTGCTACTTAAGTCTTAGGGGCCCAGTGAAGACCTTCAAAACAGGAGCCAGCTGGGTGCCAGTGGCTCATGCCTGTCATTCTAGCTACTCAGGAATCTGAAATATAAGAATCACAGTTCAAAGCCAGCCTGGGCAGAAAAATCTGTGAGATTCTTATCTCCAATTAACCACAAAAATGGAGCTACAGTGCAAGTGGTAGAGTGCTAGCTGAGTTGAAGCCCCACAACTGGCATTAAAAAAAAAATGCAGGAACCTGCATAAGATGTAGGTTCAAAGCCGGGCGCTGGTGGCTCACGCCTGTAATCCTAGCTACTCGGGAGGCTGAGATCTGAGGATCGCGGTTCAAAGCCAGCCCGGGCAGGAGAGACCGTGAGACTCCGATCTCCAATAAACCACCAGAAAACCGGAAGTGGCGCTGTAGCTCAAGTGGTAGAGCGCTTGCCTTGAGCTGAAGAGCTGAGGGACAGCGCCCAGGCCCAGAGTTCAAGCCCCACAGCAGACCAAAAAAAAAAAAAAAGATGTAGGTTCAGGTCTAACTCTCCATGCACAGTAAGAAATGTACTCAGCCATCAGTTCTGGGGACTGATGGATAGGCACACATCAAGAGATGAACAGGTGAACGAACTATGACAGAAATGACCTCCCTCTCTCGTACCAACTCCTGTCCCCCTGCAGAGAACAACCATCAGTCAGCAGCCTGCTCCGGGTCCCAGGACTGCCAGGAGTAACTGACCCAAATCAGCTCAGCAAAAGCTTTCCCTCCTGGATCCAGAGTGTGTAACACCTCCTATCTGCTGCTAATAAAAATTAAAAAAATCTATTTGGTTTTGTGTCTCTTTTTCTATCTGTCCTGGGCTCCTGGAGGGAGGACAAAGCAAATACAGAATAGCCAGAAAAGCTTTGTGGACCACTCAAGAGTCACCACACTAGCAAAAGACCCTCCCACCACTCAAAAAACATTGTGGCAGGGACCACACACTGAGATAGCCCTAAACTATGAGCTTTCAAACTTGCTCTACCTTGGCTGAATGAAGGTGGGGACAAGGGCAGGCTTCTCATGCTCAGCTAGGTTTCAGAGCTGCAACTGCAGTAACCTCCAGTGCTCTACAAGACTAGAGCATAGGCTGGAAGGACACAGGTCATCCAAAGGACACCAGGGGCAGACTCCACATTGTGATGTGATCCCCAATATCTACCTGGTCTTTTCCCCCATAGTGTTTGATACAAAGTCATCAGCACAGTTGATCTAAACCCACTTGGTTCTTGAGGGCAGTTTTGTTTTAGAGTTACTGACAGCCTGGTACTTGTTAGGCAAGAACTCTACCATTTGAGCCATACTCCTCACCCCCAGCCCCAGTGATGGTTAACTGGCTTTGGCTTTACCAAAAGGAAAAACAAATTTCAGATGTCTAAGAGGAAATTCCCACTCCTACTCCCTGAAGAAGTTAGGCCTGTATACTCTCACAGCAACTGGGTTATGGGGGCTCTAATTTCCCTGAAGTTTGCATTTCAAAATGGTTCCCAGGCTCTTGAAGACATTCCTGATCATAATTATTTTTTATTAGTTTATATAAGTTACAGAGAGGGATCACGGACCTGTACCCAGCAGGTTTTATTGTTGTTGAAAGGATCCCACACATCCATCCCAGGGGACCACGCAGAGGCAGGCAGGCACAGGAGAAAGATTATTACAAGGTTTATTAGAGGACCCATATATCCCCTGGAAAGGGAGCACATGGCACCCTCCACTATCTAAGAAGCAACAGGGTCTAGGGGCAGGAAGTGAGGTGGGTAGGAGCCTAGGTGGGTCTGGGTGGAGAGAGGGAGGGGCCAGCTGTACGGTGGGAAATCCAGAGCTGGGAGGAGCTCAGGTCTGGGTGAAGCCAAGGACCAAAAGTGGGCACAATGCTTAGTTGTTTTACTGAGGTTTGCTGTTTTCTCCCCTGTATATTTGGGAGTATGAGTATGAAGCTATGTGTGGCTACTCACTGAAAAGGGAATGTAGATCTGCTGGTCACCTATGGACACAGTCAGATGTAAATCAATGCAATCTTCGTGTATTTCTCATGATAATGTGTCAAGGTTTGGATGTGTGCCCCCAGACCCACGTATTAGGCCCACAGTGGCACTACTGGCAAGTAGTGGAAGCTTTGTGTGTGTGGTATTGGAGTTTGAACTCAAGGTCCTTTAATCTAAGGTAGTATACTTAAGATGGTGATACTTTAAAATGGCTGGCCCCTGAACAAGATGGAACCTAGTGAGAAATTTTTAGGTCTGGGAGGCATGCCCTTGAATGATGGCTCTGTGAGCCATCAGTCAGGTGGTCTAGGAAGACAATTGTGTGGTTTGGATATAGGCAAGAAAACCAGAGTGACCTGACAGTTTTGCAAAACGGTAATAGAGGTACTAGGCTCCCCAGGCTCCGGTTCTCCCCATTAGCCACACAGGTCCACTGCCTGCCTTGCTTTAGAAAGAAACACTGCCTAGGTCTGCTGTTGGGTTTCAGTGTGTGCCGTCAGGAGCTAAAGTGCCATCTGGCTCACTAGCCCAGGGCAGACAGTTCAGGAAATGGCTGCAGGCGAGCTGAGGTAGAAGGATTCCAATAGCTTCAGAACTAGATGAGACCAAAAACAGACCCCAGGGTAAGTTCCACCTTTCCCTCTCGTGGCTTTTTAGATTTCAGGCAGTTTTTGTGTTGTCTGTTTCATTTGTTGAACTCGGGACCTAGGCACTGGTCCTGAGCGTTTTCCGCTCAAGGATAGCGTTCTCCCACCTTGAGCTACAGCGCCACTTCCGGTTTTCTGGTGGCAGGGCTGGCTTTGAACCGGGATCCTCAGATCTCAGCCTCCTGAGTAGCTAGGATGACAGGCGTGTGCCGCCGGCGCCCGGCGGGGTTTGTGTCTGTCTTGGGGAAGGGGGAGTTATAGGGACTCAAGGCTGGAGCTTGCGCTCGCTGCTGGAGCCCTACACTTGAGCCAGGCCTGCAGTGCTTTGGTTTGGAGACAGGCGCTGCCGTGAACCCCAGGCTGGTTAAGTGCGATGCTCCGGCCTCAGTCGGGTTCCCGGATGCTGGGACTACAGACGCGCACCTCTATGCCTGCATTTGGTCACCAAACCGCCCGCGTCCCCAGTCCCCAGACGGGGAGCTTGTCTCTTAGGTCTCACCGGGCCTTTATCTTCTCCCTCTTTCCTGGCTTCCGCCGGTGCCCACGGGAAAGCCGGCGCCAACCCGAGAGGACAGGGGCGGGACTTCCTGGGCTGTGGCATGTGCGTCACGTCCGCTTTGCCTCGCTTCCGGCGGTGCTGGAGTCACGTCGGCCGCGGCGCGGCGTGGTCTCTGGGCCGGCGCGGGTGGATGGAGGTCATCGAAGGTGTCTGCGCCGCCGGCCTCTCGGCCAGGGGAGACACGGTTGCTGAGCGTGGGCACCCGGGCGAGCGAAGGTGCGGATGGGGAAGGTAAGGGCCTAGCCAGCGCCGGCAGTCCGCGAACTCGGGGAGCCCGTCAGCAGCGGGCCGAGCCGCCGGGGGCCGAAGAGGCCCCAGAACCCGCGCCCGGGACCAGGGCTTCGTGGGCCGCCGGCGCCCGGAGTCGCCGCTGGGCGCGGTCGGCCCCGCCAGCCACCGGCCCAGCGATCCACTCGCCCAGAGCCAACCCGCTACTGCGCACGCGCCGTCTCTGCCCCCCGCGTCAGCGCGGTCTGGCCTGACCAGCGCTACCCTTCTTGACCTCCGGTGTCCCAGAGAATCGGGTTTCGTATCTTCATTTTAGGACCAAACCCCCGGCCTGAACCCCCGACTGGCCTTCGGACTTAGATTTCTTTCTCTGAAACTGCGACTAGACTTGTCTCAAAAATCGGAAAGATCTTGCAACGCTCTCTCACCGTCATCAGGAAGTGGGAGGTGCTGGTTTTGGCCATATGTTAAAAGCAACATCTTCAACCGGGCGCTGGTGGCTCATGTCTGTAATTATAACTACTCAGGAGATTGGAGATCTGAGATTCGCGGTTCGAAGCCAGCCCAGGCAGGAAAGAATAAACTACCCGGAGAAAGCCGGAAGTGGCACCGTAGCTCTTGAAGGAAGTAATGTTTTATTGATGTTGGAAAGACTGAAGTGTGTTCTGCTAGGCCGGCTGATGCCCCGTGTAGGGAGGGGCAAGTCCTGAAGTGTGGCCTAAAAGTACAAAACCTGACTTGAAGGGAGGGAAAGGGGTCCTCTTGTGGGGAGTGGAGGTACAAAGAGAAGATAATTCCATGCCATGTTATGAACTGCTTTTGATTGATTTGAGAGTTTTGCTCTTGGAAATTTGGAGATGATAGCCGAGCATTTGTCATCCCAGCTACTCAGGAAGGCTGAGATCTGAAGATTGAGGTTCAGAGCCAGCCCAGGAAGAAAGTCCATGAGCTTTTTTTTTTTGGGGGGGGGGGGAGGCAGTGGAAGGGGGCTTGAACTCTGGGCCTAGGCACGCTGTTCCTCAGCTTTTCAGCTCAAGGCCAATGCTGTACCACTTAAGCCACAGAGCCACTTCCAGTTTTCTGGTGGTTAATTGGAGATACTAGTCTCAGACTTTCCTGTCCAAGCTGGTTTTGAACTTCAATCCTCAGATCTCAGCCTCCTGAGTAGCTAGAATTACAGGCGTGAGCCACCAGCGCCCGCCCTGCTGTTCTGGGTTAACTCAGCATTCTATGCTGAATCAAAAATTCTGAGAATTTTTTTATTAATTTTTTCTTTGCTTATAGGGCACTGAGGAATCAAACCCAGAGCTTCATACATGCTAGGCAAATACTACCACTAAGCCACATTCCCAGCCCTTAAAAATTCTGAGAATTTTTGCTTCAGAAAGTAGTACTATCTCAAATGAATGTTCAAAAAGAATAATAGAGGGCTAGGAATGTGGCTTAGTGGTAGAGTGCTTGTCTCGTGTGCATGAAGCCCTGAGTTCGATTCCTCAGTATCACATATACAGAAAAAGCCAGAAGTGGCACAGTAGCTCAAGTAGTAGAATACTAGCCTTGAGCAAAAGAAACTCAGGAACAGTGTCCAGGCCCTGAGTTCAAGCCTCAGGACTGGCAAAAAAATAATAATAATAATTGAGCTAGGACACCAATGGCTCATGCCTATAATCCTAGCTACTCAAGAGTCTGAGAACTAAGGATCATTTTTTGAGGAAGCCCTGGCAGTAAAATCTGTGAGACTCTTCATCTTCAGTTTACCACCAAAAAAGCCAGAAATGGACCTGTGGCTCAAGTGGTAGAGTTGCCAGCCTTGAATACAAAAGCTCAGGGACAGCACCCAAGCCTCAAGACTGGCACCAAAAAAAAAAAAAAAAGAGGATGGTCTTGGGGACAGTGTAACTGTGATTTCCTATCATTATCATTGTTTTCTTTCATGTTTGGGTCAAGAACTGTCCCTACACTGCTTCCCTTTCTTTTCTCCTCAGGACTTTATAGGATCACTTGCTAGGAAGTTCTATCTACCTGTTCCTGTGGGTCATCATGGCCGCTCGCCTAGTAAAGCGATGCACGTGTCTCTTGAGAGAAGCTACCCGCCTCATCCCTGCCACAGCTCCAGTTGGCCCACTGAGACTTTCTGGGGTGACCCAAAGGACTTTGACCATTTCGGCCCCCTCACCCAGTTCCCACTCCTCAGGTTCTTTAAAAGAGCTAGTAGACAAGGAGCAAGTGTTTACTCCTTACCCAGAGCACCAAGAGGTGGACCACCTCATTGAGAAAGCCACCAGGCCAGTGGAGCTATTGCAGCTACTGAATGGTAGCCACAGCTTGCATCACAATCACCGGGCCCTCATAGTCATCCAGCTCTCACGCCTCCTGTCTGGAAAGCCAGAAGAAAAGGTCTTGCTTATACAGGATGCCCGCTTCCAGCAACTTCTCCATCTGCTCGACAGTCAGGTAGGTGACAAGGGGAGAATTAGCAGGTACCAACTATGGACATACACCAGCATCTTCTATGGTTTCTTTTTCTAGACTTGAGTACTTTCCTGTGCTTTCTGTTTGTCCTCAACAAGAGCATCATTAACTGTCCTCATCTTACAGACAAGCATCTAAAACACCTGATAACACAAAGGCAAGAGATGCACCTGATTATTTGGTTGGCTGATTTGGTTTTATTGTAGGGATTTGGAATTCTGGGGTTTGATCTTAGGACCTAACACTTACATACAGTTTGGTTTTTGGAGAGTGTATGGGTGAGCACATGCTTGCACAAGTGTGCACACACACAGGTGCACATACTAGTACTGGCTTTTGAACTAAGGACCCAGTGCTATTGCTCATATTTTTGTTGTTTTGTTTGTTGTTGTTTTTCTGCTTAAGGCTAGCCTAAACCTCTCGAGCCACACCTCCACTTTTGGCTTTCTGCCTGTTATTTGGAGAAAGATTTCAAATGTTTGTCTGACTTTGAACCTTGATCCTCAGATCTTAGTCTCCTGACTAGCAAACAGAGGTGAACACCAGTGCTCAGCTGTGAACATCACTCTTGAAGCTGGAGGGCATGCGTTGTGACAGATGGGGGCCTGTGGAGACTGAGCTGTGCATTTATGTATTGTAGCCACATTCAACCCCTCATGGAGAAGTGGGGCTTCTTTGTGTAACCTTTGGGACAGCACTCACATGAGTTTCTTCCTCATGTGAGGAAAATAACTTGCTTTGGACTTTGGAAAAAAAAGGAAATCTAGCCCTAGTACCAGCCAAAAAGGAATGTCCTAGCCTGCATTAGATGTCCTCACACACAGAAATCTTGGGCTTGGTTGTCGGGTGTGATTAGGAAGGGCTTGTGCTAAGTGTTATTAAGCTACAGGCCTTTAAGTCTGGGTAATGGAACATGACTTGTGAATGAGGTAGAGCAGCATAGAAAGTATGCATAGTAAGGTAAGTACTGTCTCAAAACTTTTAGTTAGGGGCCAGGAAGGTGGCTCAGTGGTAGAGCGCTTGCCTTGCATGCATGAGGCCCTGGGTTCAATTCCTCAGCACCACATAAGCAAAAAGAAAAAAACCAGAAGTGACTCTGTGGCTCAAGTGGTATAGCGCTAGCCTTGAGCTTAAGAGCTGAGGGACAGTGCCCAGGCCCAGAGTTCAGGCCCCACGACCTGACCCAAAAAAGAAAAAAAAAACTTTTTGTTAGGTACAAATCCTTAGACTTACATTGTGAACACTGGGTATACATTTCTTAGTGAGTACAAGTTCTGGTCCTCTAAGGCTATAATTCTTGTCCCCATTTGTTGAGTATTTTGTCCTGAACTTTGAACTCAGAGCCAGGACACTCTCCTCCAACCTAGTAGTAGGGCTTGAACTCTGGGCCTGGGTGTTGTCCCTCAGCTCTTCAGCTCAAGGCTAGTGCTCTACCACTGGAGCCACAGCACCACTTCCAGTTTCGGAGTGGTTTATTGGAGTCTCACAGACTTTTCCTGCCCGAGTTGGCTTTGATCCACAATCCTCAGATCTCAGCCTCCTGAGTAGGTAGGATTACAGGCATGAGCCACCGGCGCCTATCTGTCCCTGAGCTTTTGTGTTAAGGACAGCACTCTACCACTTGAGCTCCAGCCCTACTTCTGTCTTTTTTGGTGGCTAATTGGTCCCAGAGCTTCCTGCCCAGGCTAGTCTCAAACCACAATCTTTATATCTCAGCCTCCTGAGGAACTAGGATTACAGGCACGAGTCACTGGCACCCAACTTTGCTGAGTGTTTTAAACACAACTAAGCATCTTGAGTTCTATGACTAAGCATTGAAGCACAATTGTAAGAATGGAATTCGAGGTCTGGCCCAAGTGGCAGCACTCCAGACCAGATTTTAAGTCAGTAGAGAGGAAATAGTAATAGGGCAAACGGTGATGGAACTTACTGACATCCAGGATGCCCGAAAGATGTAGGCCTTGTGTGGAACTAGGGTGGCTCCAATGCTTTCCTTCCAGGCCTTTCAAGCAACAGCTTCTGTTCCCAGCTCAACAACGAGTATGTGGTTTCTGTTCCCTTTGACACATAAAACATCACAGGAGGTGACAGTTGTACTCATTTCACCATCTGCTGTCTGAGACCCTGAGGCAGAGGTGTGGGCTAGGTTACTCTGTGGCCTCATAGTTCTGGGAGACCTGGAGAGACTCCTGCAGCACATAGTTGGCCTCCTCAGAAAAAAGGCTGGCACCAATGGGGCTGGACCAAAACTGTTGTAACACTTGGGGGCCAACACTGCTTTGCCTGTGTGCACAGTGGAGCTTAGTGACAGAGCCTTGCAGGTCACTGGGTCGCATGCAGAGCATGTGGAAAGCCTTTCCACAATAAGAGCCTGCTCAGACATGCTGGATTGTTGCGGGAGTTCTTCCCAGGAATCCTTTGCATTGGGGACAGGCTTAATGGGACTAGGACTATTTGTACTCTTGTGTCAAAGCGTCCCTCTGGACCTTCATGTCTCGGGGAAGACCTGCTCTTCAAGGGACCTGCAGTCACTTGACTCCTTGCTTGGCCCACATGCCACTGGAGGATGTGTGGCAGCAGTATAACTTAGTGGTAAAACTGGCCATAGAACCTCCATCTAGACCTACTTTTGATTTGTTGGCATCTTGGGTGCATTATACCACATAGCTGTGCAGGGGCCATGTGACAGGGGATATGTCTGTCAAATCAGCCATATTAAATCAAGTCTGTGTTAGTTTCTCTTACCACTTGGAGGATCCAGCTTAGCTCAGGAAGCAGGTCCAGTGCTCAGCCTAGTAAAGCAAGGCAGGAGCTGTCCTCTGGAAAATTACAGGAATGCCAGAGAAATAGGTTTACAGAGCCGGCTCCAGCCCAGATGGGTGATGGATGGGTGCCACATGTGACTTACATTTGTCTCTTCACTGCCAGATATCCTCAGTGTGGCACGGTACCCTGGTGAAGCTGCTGCGTAGCTTGTACACACTGCCACTCCCCAATACTTCCAAGGAGCTGCGGTCAGTGGAGCAGGAGGTTCGCTGGCGCCTACGGAGACTTAAATACAAGCACTTGGCTTTCTTGGCCGAGTCCTGTTCCCTTGTGAAGGAGAAGCACTCCCAGGAGCTGTTGGCTGAGCTGCTGGTGCACATGGAGAGGCGCTGGACAGAGATCGAAGATGGCCGCACGGTGGTTGCCATTATGATGAAGGCAGGGCACCTCTCAGAGTCATTGATGAACCGCCTGGAAGACAAGGTATAGAGCTGGAAGCAAGCAGCAGCAGCAGCCTGCCTCCCTGGGGGATTTATGCTTGTTCCTTGGGTCACAGTCCTCAGCAGAAGGGAGATGTTTCATGCACTGGGACAGGAGCTCTGGGAGATTTTGTCCAGAGACTCAGCAGGCAAGTCCTGAAGTTAGCAGAGGTCCTGGTCAGGACTGGACTAGCCCTTTCACAGTCGCACTTCTTATTGGAACTGTCCTGGATGTATGTGTTCCATTTCCCCTCCCCTCATGCCACAAAATAGCACTGTCCTTGCAGTCAAGTCAAATTCAGCTCCCATCCTGCCATGGTGGGGGCTGGCCCAGATGACTGCCACAGCAAGCTTGTAGCCCATGGGCCCCAGCTCCCTTGCTTTGGGGCCTGGGGATAAATTTGGCTGCAGACATTGTATTCTAGATCCAGGGCTCCCTGGAGCAGGTGAGGAGGCAGGCCTGCACAGAAGGGCCTGTGTTGAGTCAGCTCAGGCCCAGTTGCTGTCTCACAGGGGCTGCATTGGATGGGACCCCTGCCCCCCAGCTCGTCCCCGCCACTTGAGGCCATCAAGCTGACCCCTGCACGGCTGTGGTTGACAGTGCCTGGAGCTGGTGGAACAGTTCAGCCCTGACGAGATGCGGAAAGTGTTGCTGACGCTGGCAGCTCAGAATCGGCGGTCCGTGCCGCTGCTGCGGGCCATCTCCTATCACCTGGTACAGAAGCCCTTCCAGCTGACCAAAGGCATGCTCCTGGACCTGGCCTACGCCTATGGTGAGGAGGGAGAAAGCCCTGGCTAGGCAGGTGCCTGCAGCTGTGTCAAATTCAGTGCGTGTCCTGACTGTGGCAGGCACTGGCCCAGAAGGCTGCCACAGAAACACTGTGACTCATGGGCCCTGTTCCTCTTGCCTGGGTTCAGGGATAAATTTAGTCACAGACACCAAGCCCCTAGACCTCAAGACTGTGGTAGTTTAGAGCAGTGGGTGGCAGTGACCTCCCTAGCTAAGCCTGTTGTCTGTTCTGTCCCAAAGGTAAACTCAGCTTCCATCAGACCCAAGTGTCCCAGCGCCTGGCTGCTGACCTACTGTCCCTCTTGCCCAGCCTGACCCCCAGTGAGGTGGCCCACTGTGCCAAGTCCTTCGCTTTGTTGAAGTGGCTCAACCTGCCCTTGTTTGAAGCCTTTGCCCAGGTAAGTCAGTCAGCTGGGGCTCTCCTGTGCCTGACCCCAACTGAGAAGCCTCCCACCTGCCTCAGGTGGGAACTGTTGCTTTAGTTGGGAAGCAGAGCCGGCCTGAAGATATTTGTGGGTGTTTAATGCAGGTTTCTTAATTTACTTGGAACAAGATGTTACTGTTTTGAGTGGGGAGAGTATTTGCAAGCCGTTTCCTCTGTTTCCATTCATATTGGAGTAGCCATAGCAGGGAGAGTGCACTGGGTAAGGCTGGCCACCCCACGTGCAATGCAGGACAGACAGTACTGCCTTTGACGTCCTGAAGCTGATGGGCACCAAGTGTGCTAGTCAGGGAGCATCTCTTTTTTTGTTGTTGTTGGTAGTCGTGGAGCTTGAACTCTGGGCTTAGAGGGGCTGTCCTTCAGCTCTTCAGCTCAAGGCAAGCACTCTGCCACTTGCGCCACAGCGCCACTTCTGGTTTTCTGGTGGTTTATTGGAGAGAAGTCTCACAGACTTTTCCTGCCTGGGCTGGCTTTGAACCGCAATCCTCAGATCTCAGCTTCCTGCGTAGCTAGGATTATAGATGTGAGCCACCAGTGCCCGGCTTCAGGGAGCATCTTCAGAGCTCCTGTTAGAGAGGTGGATCCTGGTCTCTGTCTACAGTGGGCAGTTGCCACTAGACGGAGAAGCACCTTGGCATGGGGGGTGAGTCTTGGAGCTGCCTCTTGCTAGCAAGGTGCTCATGCTTCCTTCTGATGGCACAGCACCTCTTGAAGAGAGCTCAGGACATCACCCTGCCTCATGTGTGCAATGTACTTTTGGCTTTTGCCCGTCTGAACTTCCGTCCAGAACAAGATCACTTCTTCAACTTGGTATGTGTGCTGGGCTCTCACTCCCCTGCCCCTTCACTGCCAGCTGCTTGCCTGGATTCCCTGGGCTGGGTGGAAGGGGATACAACACCTGGCTTGGGAATGGGAGGTCTTACCTGTACTTTGTTGGATTTTTTTTTTTTTTTTGCCTACTGATGCTCAGAAGCCTCTGGCCCACTGCAGAGACACCTGCAGGTCTCCCTGCTGCAGAGGTCTGCAGCAACGAAGGGCAGGGGCATCAAAGGAGCCAGCAGACCCACTTGACTCTGCTCCCCAGGAGCTTTATAGTCAGGGCATCAGCTGCTTTACCTCCAGGTGGTGCTCTGATCCTATGGGACCTGAAACTGCAGAAGGGATCCGCAGTTTTAGGCACCTGCTACTGGGCAGATAGAACTAAGTGCCTCCGGATGTCACTGTGTGGCAGTATACTAGGAAGGAAGGGCAGCTTCTGTTGCACCATGCCTCTGGCCAGCATTCTCCTCTGGCTCCAATGTCACAGGTCATTGGTTACCGTCCCTTCTCAATATTGCAGTCCCTGGGCAGAGTCTGCTTTCTCTGCCTGTCCTTTCTCACCCTGTCCTTGGCCCAGGTGCATGAGAAGCTGGAGCCAGTCTTGATGAGCCTGGAGCCAGCTCTGCAGGTGGACCTGGTGTGGGCCCTGTGTGTGCTGCAGCAGGTGCAGGAGGCAGAGCTGCAGGCTGTCCTCCACCCTGGAGTTCACAGGCAATTTCTAGGTGAGCACCCTGCCCCTCCCATCACCTTTGCTGCCATTGGGCAGCTTATCTGGTCTTTTTTTTTTTTTTTTGCCAGTCCTGGAGCTTGAACTAAGGACCTGGGCACTGTCCCTGAACAACTTTTTGCTCAAGGATAGCACTCTACCACTTGAGCCACAGTGCAACTTCTCGCTTTTTCTGTGTATGTGGTACAAAGGAATCGAACCCAGGGCTTCATGCATGCTAGGCAAGCATTCTACCACTAAGCCACATTCCCAGCCCCTTACCTGGTCTTCTTGCCTAGAGCCAGGGGGAAATTGAACTACTGATGGGAGAATCCACCTTAGGTTTTCTCAGTCCACTCCCTGAAATTGATCTGAGGAGCATTCAGAGCAGGGAAGAGGGTGTGGCCTTTCTACCTAGACCTTCATTTCTGTTCTTGCTCTCTACTCACCCACTTTCTCTTACAGCAAGCAAGTCTCCAAAGGACCAGGGCACCTTTCAGAAGCTGCTCCACATCAATGCCACCGCCCAGCTGGAGCACCCTGAGTACAGGGGGCCCCTCCTGCCAGCCTCTGCTGTGGCCTCCCTTCCCCTCACCCCTGCCAGGAAGGTGACTCCCCTGCAGAAGGATCTGCAGCAGACCCTGAAGGCATTGCTTGGAGAAGCTGACCGGGGAAGTTTTGAGGTGGCCACACAGTATGGATGGGTGCTAGGTAACAGGATCATTCTAACTCTGCCCTGGAGCATGGGCTGCAAGTCTGTACCTGTGGGCTCTAAAGGGCAACACAGGTTCTCTACATCCTCCCCGCAGATGCAGAGGTGCTGCTGGATACTGATGGCCAGTTTTTGCCCCTGAGGGATTTTGCCTCACCTCACCTTGCCCAGCCAGTTGGGAGCCAGCCACTGCCCCCAGGAGCTAAAAGGTGAGTGGTCTGAGATGCTCTTGTCACAGCCCTGGTGCAAGTCACACCACACTGCTGTCACCTGTGTGCTCAGGGCTGTCTGTGTGCCTCTCCCTCCTGAGGGGTGAGGGGTGAGAGGCCAACCTCGGCAGCCATCTTTTTCCTACCAGGCTCGCTTTCCTGCGCTGGGAGTTCCCCAACTTCAACAGCCGGAGCAAGGATTTGCTGGGCCGATTTGTTCTGGCCCGGCGCCACCTTATGGCCGCAGGCTTCTTGATAGTAGACGTGAGTACTTTTGGGGCAGGCAGATGGTTACTGCCCAGGGAAAAGTCCCCACCCATTTTAGAGGAGCTGCCTCTTGCCCCTGTGGGTGCCTTTGGAAGGCCCCAGGCTGGTCTGGAACCATGATCCTCCTGATATAAGTAGCTAAGCCTCCCAAGTAACTAGATGACAGGCTTGCATCACTACCCCAGCCCTATAGCATCTTTAGGATGTAGGAGTCCTTTGGGCCCTCTGCAGCTCACAGGACCTTCTAGCACTGGCAGCATCCCACCCCCTCCCTCCAGCTTTCTGGTCTCTTCTGATGACTTGGAGGCCAAGGGATGGATATTACAGAACTGTCAGTCATAAGAGGTTGAGGGGTCTGTGCACAGGCAGTGGGACCGGTCCCTGGCCAATGAGCCCCTTAACCCACCACTTCCCTGTAGGTCCCATACTATGAATGGCTGGATCTCAAGTCTCAATGGCAGAAGGGTGCCTACCTTAAGGACAAGATGCGCAAAGCAGCAGCAGAGGAGCTGGCCAAGTGAGCTGTCAATCACCTCAGCCTGGACCACATGCCAAGGGACTGGCCGTGCTGGGGCCCAGCAGTTTGAGTGCTGGCAGGCAAGAGCTGTCACCTTGGAGGATGTGCATCTCAGTACAGGGCTTTGGCCAGAGTGAGGGGTGCCAACAGCTCTTAAGAGACCATAAGATGATCCTGTCCTGGGTAATAATAAATCATTTATTTTGGTGTGTAGCACCAAGCAGCTTCCTGGGCCTTGTCACTCATAACACCCTTACTCCTACCCACCTACTTGTCTGCCTTAGAAGGCTAGCCTCGTCCAGGGCTCTGCCCTTTGCACCCTGTCAACCAGCAGAGGAAGACTGACTTGAGGGACAGACACTCAGGGCCCAGGCAAGAGCTGTTTTCTGCCTGTCTCCTGCTTTTCCCTGGAACCGTGCCTGTCTAGTGCACATCTGTATTGACAACGAGTCTGATCAGTACGTCCATCCTGAAGCTTGAACCTCCAGGGCTAAGACTGCTGAGTGTCAGGCTTTCCTCATATGGTGAGCAGGGTCTTTGTCCAATTGTAGTTGGTTACTTTATCCTTCTCCTGGGAGGCTTCTTCCCACTCCTTCTCCACACTAGAGTCCCTAATGGCCCCTATGACAGTAGTATGAAGGCTGGCTGGGCTCTGAGAGATTAGGGGAACTTGGCTGAGACCATAGGGTTCAGAGCCAGACTCAGTCACGACTTCATGACTTCTCTGACCAAAGCCTTGACTGCGGTCCCAGAACCATCTCAGGGTACTTCCTTCCAGCCTCTCAAGACATGTTTTTTTTTTTTTTTTTTTTTTTTGGTCGGTCGTGGGGCTTGAACTCTGGGCCTGGGCGCTGTCCCTCAGCTCTTCAGCTCAAGGCGAGCGCTCTACCACTTGAGCTACAGCGCCACTTCCGGTTTTCTGGTGGTTTATTGGAGATAGGAGTCTCACGGTCTCTCCTGCCCGGGCTGGCTTTGAACCGCGATCCTCAGATCTCAGCCTCCTGAGTAGCTAGGATTACAGGCGTGAGCCACCAGCGCCCGGCCAGCCTCTCAAGACATGTACGTGTACACTGCAAGCAATCCAGAAGGAGGGGGCAGAGGAACTTGCTGGCATTGCTTCTCCCTAAGAAAGAAAAATTAGCCTTTTGCACTCCCCACCCCGACCCTGAATCTTGGCATTTTCTGTAAGGCCTGTGGCCAGGTACACAGAACCCACATCCTTGTCCTGCCCAGACAGAAGAGTAACACCTGGCTCAGCTGGAAGGGAGCAAGCAGTGAACTGGCTTCTTGGAGGCAGGAATGGCCTTCTGAAGAATAGCTAACCAAGTGGCTGCTTGCAGTGGCACCTGCCGTCTATGTAGCATGTTAGGGGCATGGAGACTGTTGAGAAAGAGCCTGTGTCTTAGGAAAATAAAGATTTTCCCTATGCACTGCTTGGGATCACTGGATTTTATTTGAGGTAACAAGGGAGAGGCCCACTGCAGTTAAAACACTCAGGTGACTGGCTCTACAATAGATGGCTCACAGCAGTCACTCCAGCCTTGAGCAGAAGTCAGGCACAAAGACATTCCCACCACAGGATCCATAGGACAGCTCCACCAAGCCACCTGCAAGCAAGAGCCTTCTCCATTACTATTTGGTCATCCTACAAGTGGCATGCCCTGGCTCTGGGAGAAAAGCCTACTCATAAAGGGAGTCAACAGGATGGGGGCTTTCCTAATTGGATCCAAAGAAATAAATTGTCAAGATTTACATTTTGTGCAGTTGCCTTATAGCTGTTACTCAAATCCAGTGGCATGGCTTTTCATATTCCACATTCACCCGCTTACCCATTGGGAGGTCACTGGGCTGTATCTGATTTGGGATTTGGGGCTTAAAAGCTGCACAGGTTTGGGTTTCTCTAGAAATACAACTTGGTTCATAGGAGATAGGTTGGCTGTTCTTTGTAATGGCTGCACTAAAAATTCCTGTCAAAGATCTGGGGAGGTGGCTCAGTGGTAGAGTGCGTGCCTCACATTCATGAGGCCCTGGGTTTGATTCCTCAGCACCACATAAACACAAAAAGCCAGAAATGGCCCTGTGACTCAAGTGGCAGAGCACTAGCCTTGAGCTGAAGAGCTGAGGGACGGTGCCCAGCCCACACGACCAACCAAAAAAACTCAACTGTCTGAGTTCCAGTTCCTCTGTATCCTGGCTGGCATGGATACTTCGTAATTCTTACAGGTATGTGGTAACAATAGGTTTCTGTTGCATTTCTCTAGGGACTAGTGATACTAGCTGTATCTCTTCAAGTATGGTAAATTGATTCTTTTATATCCTCTGTTTAAATGTCTCAAGTCTAGATGATTTTTTCCATTTTCTGAAGTTCATAATGGCAGTGAATCTTTGTTCCTCTACAAAGGGCCTTTATTTTTTATTTTTTCCCAGTCCTGGGGTTTGAACTCAGGGCCTGGGTACTATCCCTGAGTTTCTTTTTTTCAAGGTTAGCACTCTACCACTTGAGCCACAGTACCACTTATGACTTTTTTCTATTTGTATGGTATTGAGGAACCCCAAGCTTCATGCATGCAAGGCAAGCACTCTACCACTGAGCCACATTCCCAGCCCTACTTTTTGTTTTCTGTTTGTTTGTTTGTTTGTTTTTGGATCCAGTCATGGGGCCTGAACTCTGGGCCTGGGCTCTGTCCCTCAGCTCTTCAGCTCAAGGCTAGTGCTCTACCACTTGAGCCACAGTGCCACTTCCGGCTTCTTTCTTTTTTGCTTATGTGGTGCTGAGGAATCGAACCCAGAGCCTCAGGCATGCAAGACAAGCACTCTACCACTGAGCCACCTTCCCAGCCCTACTTTCTGTTTTCTTAAGATGTTAGGGCAAGCCAGGCGCTGGTGGCTCACGCCTGTAATCCTAGCTACTCAGGAGGCCGAGATCTGAGGATCGCGGTTCAAAGCCAGCCCAGGCAGGAGAGACAGACTCCTATCTCCAATAAACCACCAGAAAACGGGAAGTGGCGATGTAGCTCAAGTGGTAGAGCGCTTCGCCTTGAGCTGAAGAGCTGAGGGACAGCGCCCAGGCCCAGAGTTCAAGCCCCATGACCGACAAAAAAAAAAAGATGTTAGGGCAGAAGTTTGAGATTTTTACCATGTTCCATGACCAGCTTTACCATTTATTTGTTGGGGTTTTTTTCTTGGTTTTTTGTTGTTGTTTTGGTCAGTCATGGGGCTTGAACTCTGGGCTTGGGCCTGTCCCTGTGCTCTTCAGCTCAAGGCGAGTGCTCTACCGCTTGAGCCACAGTGCCACTTCCAGTTTTCTAGTGGTTTATTGGAGATAAGAGTCTCAGGACTTTACAGGTGTGAGCCACTGGTGCCCGGCCAACTTTACCATTTATGAGTACTGCTTTGGGGTGTCAAATCCACAACACCCAACCCTAATTCTAAGTCCTTAATATTTTTCCTGTTGACATTATATACACACACATTTTTGAGGATATAATCGAGTTACTCTTAGCTGGGCACTGATGGCGCATGCCTGTAAACCTATATTAAGGAAGCTGAGATCTGAGGATGGCAGTCTGAAACCAGCCCAGGCAGAAAAGTACCTGTGAGACTCATCTTTAATTAACCACACAAAAACCAGAAGTGGAGCTATAGCTCAAGGTGGTAGAGCAGTAGCCTTGAGCAAAAGAGCTCAGGTATAGCACCCAGGCCCTGAGTTCAAACACCATGATCTTTTGTAGCTTTTTTTTTCCCCAGAGCTGAGGACAGAACCCAGGGCCTTGCGCGTGCCGGGTAGGTGCCCTTCCGCTGGGCTAAACCCCTAAGCCCCAAACACCATGATTAGAGAGAGAAAAACAAAAGCTACTCTTGGGGCTGGGAATGTGGCTTAGTGGTAGAGTGCCTCCCATGCATGAAGCCTTGGGTTCAATTCCTCAGAGCCATATTCACAGAAAAAGCTGGAAGTGGTGCTGTGGCTCAAGTGGTAGAATGCGTTGAGCAAAAGCAGCTCAGGACAATCAGGGTCCAGGCCCTGAGTTCAAGCCCCAGGACTGGCAAAAAAAAACTTAACACGAAGAAACTTATTTGTATAACTGGTGAGACTTTAAATGTTTGTGTTTGTTTGCTTCCCTATAGATGTCCAATCACTCCAGAATCCTTTGTAGAAAAAGCTGTCCTCGGGCTGGGAAGGTGGCTCAGTGGTAGAGCGCTTGCCTTGCATGCATGAGGCCCTGGGTTCAATTCCTCAGCACCACATAAACAGAAAAATAAAAGCCAGAAGTGGCGCTGTGGTTCAAGTGGTAGAGTGCTAGCCTTGAGCTGAAGAGCTTGAGGGACAGCGCCCAGGCCCAGAGTTCAGGCCCCATGACTGGACAAAAAAAAAAAGAAAATAAAAAAAAGCTGTCCTCTCCCACTCACTTGCAAAAGTCACTTAGGCATGTTTGTGTTGAGTTATATTTGAATTTACATGCTATTGATCTATGTTTTCTGTCCTGCTGGCAACATCACATCTTACTGTAGCTATCTAAAACATGCATTAGGCTGGGCATGAGACAGAAAGGTACACTGATTCTCAGATCTCAGCCTCCTGCATAGCTATGATTTCAGTTATGAGTCACTTGCTCATTAGGCCATTCTTAAGGGGCTGTTTATGTAAGGTCCACTCCTGGATGGCGAGCAGAGTCCACCCTCCTCCCAGCAAGGTCTCCGCCCAGTACCTGCATTACCTAGGCAACTTAGGACACCTGGAAGAGGTCACATCTGCATCTGCTGAGGTCACATCTGAATTTGATGTGGCCACTCCTTTCTCTGCCCATACCCTAGATAAGGCCTAGCCCAGGCCCAGACACTCCGCTCTTTTCTAGCTCTTTCTCAGCTCTTTCCTTCTCCTCTTTCCCAGCTCCCTTCTTTTCTAGCTCTCTCTCTGCTCTTTTCTAGCTTTCTCAGCTCTTTCCTTTCCTTCTCTTTCCTAGCTCTCTCTTTCCCACCTTTCCCAGACGCGCTCTTTTCTAGTTCTTTTCTCTCTTCTAGCTCTTTTCTCTCACTTTCCCAGCTCTCTTTTCCAGGCCTTTCCCACCGCGTGGAGGACCAAGATGGCCCGGTGCCAGCCGGAACGATGAATAAACCTACCCCTTACCTGAATACCACGTGCGTGGTGCTGTTCTTACTCGGCTACCTCTTTTTATAAATCTAAGTTTATTTGTCCTTTTTTTTTGGGGGGGGGAGGTCTGGTCGTGGGGTCTGAACTCTGGGCCTGGGTGCTGTCCACTCAGCTCTTCAGTTCAAGGCTAGCACTCTACCACTTGAGCCACAATGCCACTTCCGGCTTTTTTCTTTTTGCTTATGTGGTGCTGAGGAATCGAACCCAGGGCCTCATGCATGCAAGGCAAGTGCTCTACCACTGAGCCACCTTCCCAGCCCATCTTTTTTTTTTTCCAGTCCTGGGCTTGAACTCAATCTGGGCACTGTCCCTGATCTCTACCACTTTGGACCACAGTGCCACTTCCATTTTTCTGGTGTTTAATTGGAGATAAGAGTCATGGGGGCTGGGAAGGTGGCTCAGAGGTAGAGTGTTTACCTTGCATGCCTGAGGCCCTGGGTTCGATTCCTCAGCACCACATAAGGAAAAAGCCGGAAGTGGTGCTGTGGCTCAAGTGGTAGAGCACTAGCCTTGAGCTGAAGAGCTGAGGGACAGTGCTCAGGCCCAGAGTTCAGGCCCCACGACCAGACCCAAAAAAAAAGAGTCATGGCCTTGGGCTGGGAAGGTGGCTCAGTGGTAGAGCGCTTGCCTTGCATGCATGAGGCCATGGATTCGATTCCTCAGCACCACATAAGCAAAAAGAAAAAAAGCCGGAAGTGGTGCTGTGGCTCAAGTGGTAGAGCGCTAGCCTTGAGCTGAATTGCTGAGGGACAGTGCCCAGGCCCAGAGTTCAGGCCCCACGACCAGACCCCCCCCCCCAAAAAAAAAAAAAAAAAAAAAAAAAAAAAAGCCGGGCGCTGGTGGCTCACGCCTGTAATCCTAGCTACTCAGGAGGCTGAGATCTGAGGATCGCAGTTCAAAGCCAGCCCAGGCAGGAGAGACCATGAGACTCCTATCTCCAATAAACCACCAGAAAACTGGAAGTGGCGCTGTAGCTCAAGTGGTAGAGCGCTCGCCTTGAGCTGAAGAGCTGAGGGACAGCGCCCAGGCCCAGAGTTCAAGCCCCATGACTGACCAAAAAAAAAAAAAAAAGTCATGGCCTTAGGCTGGGAAGGTGGCTCAGTGGTAGAGCGCTTGCCTTGCATGCATGAGGCCCTAGGTTTGATTCCTCAGCACCACATAAGCTAAAAGAAAAAAGCTGGAAGTGGCGCTGTGGCTCAAGTGGTAGAGTGCTAGCCTTGAGCTGAAGAGCTGAGGGACAGCGCCCAGACCCATAGTTCAAGCCCCACAGTCAACAACAAAAAGTCATGGCCTTTCCTGCCCAGGCTGGCTTTGAACCACAGTCTTCAGATATCAGGCTCCTAAGTAGCTAGGATTACAAGTGTGAGCAACTGGTGCCTGGCTCCTCATTCTTTTTTGATGATACAAGGGTTTGAACTCAGGGCCCCATTAAAGTCATACCCCAAATCCTTTTACTACTTGGAGTTCATTTTGATAATATTTCACGTGATCAGAGGCATATAGGCATTGTGCCTTTGTGTTCCTCCCCTAAGAATATATCAGTTTTTTGAGATAAGGTTAGATGTGCACTTTGCCAAGGCCAGCCCCTTACTGGAATCCTGCTACCTCCACTTACTGAGCAGCTGGGATTACAGCACCACTACCCACAGCTTCTACTTCGTTGTTGTTGTTGTTACTCTGTCTGCCACAGGACTTTGTGGGTGAGGGTTGAGAAGGGAAGGGGAAAAGGGAAGAAGGAAGGGAAAGGAAAAGGGGAAGGAAGGGAGAGGAAGCTTCCTGTCATACCAGTTCTGCTAGGTGCTAGGTTCCATTGGTAGTGTTAACCTCCATTCTATACCAAAAAAAAAATCTACTTGGTTCTCCTGTTGGTAGGTTGGAGTCTGAAAACACCAGTCTGGGGTTTCTCCTGCCAGGTGGGACATCAAAAGATAACTGGTAGTATGATGTTCACCCAGCCCCTCACTACTCCCTGCTTTCTTCTTCACCTTCCCACACTTTCTCTTCTTACTCCCTGCCACATCTGTCTTGCCCAGGCAGGCACCACCCGCCCCCCGCCCCCCCCCCCCGTTTGGGTTTTCTTTTATTTCCTGGATGTACAGTAGTCCTTTAGTAGAGAGGAATAGAGGGGCAAGCTCATACTATCTTCCCAGGACTGGAAGCCCCCAGGAGTCCAATGAGAGAGATTTGATGTTAACCAGGTTGTAGGAGCTGTGAGAGCCGTGGAGTTGAGGATTCAGCTAAAACATTAGGAAAGGGTATCCAGAAAGGGGCAGCTTAGGAGCTTGGGAGATGACACGAGGGTCCTGAAGTGGAGAATGTAACAGGAGGAAAGCAGTCCCAAACCAGGCTGGAAAGATAGATGCCTAGAATGCCAGCAACACAGAGAGATGCAGAGCACAGGCATTGCTGCAGAAGGGTGTAGGGCTTTGGCGTGGCATAGTAGGTGTGGTGCGGCAGGGAAAGCAGCGGGGAGGAGAGGACAGCCTCCGACATCCCCCACTGACTCCAAAACCAGAAGACAATACCGGGGAGGGAGTGGTGGTGCACTCTACCCTCCTCTACCCCTAGAGTGCAGGCCTCCTCCCTGCCTGCCACAATGGCTGCTCTGATTTCCCTGCCCAAGCGCGAACTGACAATGTGTCATTCATCTGTCTCCGGTGCCTGGCACCGGGGGAGGGGTGGGGGGAGAGGCATTTTGGACCTGGGCGGAGCAGGAGCTGGGTGGAAGCAATAGCTTTTCAGGAAAGGCAAGGGGTGGGCCTCATCCCTGGAAGTGTGGCGGAGGTGGCTGCCAAGAACCGGGGGAGGCGCACTGCTTCCTTCCTCTATCTGGAGATTCTGCGGGTGGGGATGGGGCGCAGATCACTCAGCTACGGGGGACCCGAGGTCCCCTCAGCCAGCTCACTGGGGTTGCCTTCCCCGCTGTGCCTCACCAGCTCCATCCCCGGTCGCCAGAGAGACGGGAGGAGGTTGCTATGGAGACCGACGACTGCGAGGACCAGCCAATCCCCTCCCGCCTTGGCCGCGGATCCAGTCCGTCTTTCAGATGGGGGCCTGGCAGAGGGGGATGGGCGGGGCCGCGGCGCCCTCCCCCCCTTCTCGCGGGCCACGGGGGCAGACGACACCGCCACGCCCCACATCGCCGGGTGCTTCGTCCGGCTCCCAGGCCCCGCACCCCCGGCTGGCGCCGCCGCGCCCTCTCCCAGCCAGCCGCGGGGCGATGCGGCCGATGCGAGGTACCCTCGGCGGGGGAGGGGAGCCGCGGGAAAGGCGGGGTGGGGGGAGGCTGTGGGGTGGGGGGGAGGCTGCGGGGTGGGGGCGCTGCAGGCCCTCTCGCTGGCTCTGGCAGCTCAGGGGGGGGCGTGACAGGTGGGGGAGGGAGCGCCCCCCCCCCCTGCGCCGCAGTGCCTGGCGCGCCGGCGCACGTTCGGGCGCGGGGAGGGGGGAGGGTTGGGGGGCGGGTGCTGACGTCATCTTCGCCCCCCCCCCCCCGCAGCTGAGGGGCGGTGGCCGCACAGACTACTCCTGGCGGCGGCACGGACAGACAGACGGACAGACTGAGGAGCCCAGGGAAAGAGGGACGGGTGGGCGCACGTCCCGGCCATGCCCGGGGAGGCCGCCCGCGCGGAGCTGCCGCTGCCCGAGCCCGGGGGCCCCGGGCCCCGCACAGGTGAGGCCGCGGCCGCTCCCCTCTCCGGCCCAGCGCTCCCGGTCCTCTCCTCCGTTCCTTCCCCTTCGCCAGCTCCTCTCCTGTCCGTCCTCCGCTCAGCCCTGCCTCTGGCCGCCCGAACCCTGCCCCCGCCCCGCCAAACACTCAGGATTTCGGGGAGGGGCGCAGGCAGTGCCCTTTGCCAGCTAGAAGCCCAGGGAGGGCCGTGCCCTTAGCCCCTGACGGGGGGCCGTGGAGCTCCACACGCTCCAGGCCCAGGTCCTGCCCGCGCGCGCGGGCTGCTGTGCCAACATGACGCCCCATTGTCCGCCAGCTGAGCCCGAAGCCCAGCAGATCCCTTCAGATTTGATGGGCACTCTCCCCTCGGGCCTCCACTGCACCCCAGGCTGCGCAGGGCGGGCGAATGGCTAGGCACAGGAGGGAAGAGAACCCTGAGAGCCCAGGGGCTGGCTGGAGAAGGCAGAGCTGGCGCTGGGAGGGGGGGGGGGGTAGGGGTGGGAGGCGGTGGGAGGCCTGGAGGAGGTGTCCTAGCCAGATGTCCTACCCTCGACCCCCCCCCCAGGTCCCTCCCCGCAGACCACGGAGGTCCTGGAGATGCGGGATCAGCAAACGTGGGTGGAGGCCGGAGGGTCGTCTGTCCACTTAGCCTGGGGCATTCAGAGCCTGGATGGTCCCTGTTGGAGGTCCCCCATGGGTGGTTTGGCAGGACCAAGGGCACCTTGCTGTGGCCTGGCAGAGGTAACACTGCTGCCACCTCTGCTGTTCGTGGCAGACAGACAGTCCAGGCTAGGACTCCCCAGTCCCAGTGTTCTATACTGCTTCTGTTCTGGCTTGTCTGATGACCTTGAAGGAGACAAAGGAAAAACCTTTGGCCTCTCTTTGCCTTTCCATTCTGATCTTGGTCCAGTTCTGTCCTTCCCTGCCCTGGGGTCCAGGCTAGGAGTCAGTACAGAGCCAACAGCCTGGGGGCCTCTAGTGACACCCCAGTAGCCACACCCACTCGCAGTATCAAGTGTGCCTCCAGGAACTTGAAGGATCCCCCCCACAGCCCCTGGCCACCCCAGCAGCACAACCATCAGTCAAGGAGTGCACTGAGTGGCTAAGGGTCCCACACCCTGATAGGGGCAGGTGTTGAGGTCTGGCAGGGTGGCAGCCTTCAGCTTTACTTCTCAGCCTAGCTCATCTCTGCTTTGGAGGTGGGAAAGAGAAAGCCAAAGTGCTGGTCATGCTGCCCTATGTCACCAGCGAGCAACATAGAGCGGGCATCGCTGGCAGAGATCTGCAGCCCAGAGCACCCTGGAGCCCGCTCCTAAGTATGGCCCCTCCCCCTCTGGGCAGGACTTGGCCTGGGCTCTCGGGGCAGTAGGAAGGCCTTGAGCAAATGCTTTAAAGAGATGTGTTTTGGGCCTCGATCCAGTAGAGAGAAGGATGTTACAGAGCCATTCAAAATGAAGCAAGTAAGCACTTAGAACACACAGGAAACAGAGATAATGTGGAATGAAAACCACAGATGCAAAAGTGAATGTGCAGAATGACCTCAGTGGTGAAAGACAAGGAAGAGAACCCAAAGGAGGGTGCTGCTTGGAGGGGTTGTCTTCCACCTTCCTGAGGCCCACCCTACTTCCTGGCCCACGGTCCTTCATGGTGTGCATGTGGCATGGCTTGTGCTATGGGGGTGTGGCAGTACAAGGAGGTTTCCTGAGCACCCGTGTCCTGGGATGGCATGGGATCCACAGAAGGGCCCTGGGCAGGCCAGGAGGATCTGGCACTCACCACAGAATGGCTGCCACTATGGAGAGGATGTAGCCAGAGGCTCCAACAGACATTTCTGAACCATCCTGTTTCTATGGGCTCCTTGGCTGTCATCATTGCTCACCTTTGCCCTTCTTGCCAGATGCTCCAATTCAGCCTCCATGGGACATGTCTGTCTCCATCCTCTACAAACGACTATGTGCAGGGCCCCTGCTTCCTTCCCCCTATGCCACAGGAGTGGAGCAGACCCTCTCCAGGTGGCAAAGTCCTGGGGGACAGGAGATAGTCCAGAGAGACAAGACACTTGTCTTGTGGGGAAACCTGGAAATGTCCAGAGCTTTACAATGGTGAGGAGGGGGGGGAGGTCCCTGCTCCTGTCATGGGAAGGGGCTTGTACTGCCCAGCAGATTCTCATTGCTCTTTGCACCTACCAAGCCCAACTTAACCACACAAATTACCTGAAAAGGAAATAGTTTTAAAGAGAGGGAAGAGAGGAAAGAAAGAAAATAGGGAGAAATATAGATGGACTTTGCGCGCGCGCGAGTGTGTGTGTGTGTGTGTGTGTGTGTGTGTGTGTGTGTGTTATGTGTTCTGGGGCTTGAACTTAGGGCCTGGGTACTGTCCTTGAACTTTTGTGCTCAAGGGTAGCACTCTTCCATTTAAGTCACAGTTGTGGCTTTTTTGGTAGTTAATTGGAGATGAGTCTCACAGCCTTTTCTGCCTGGGCTGGCTTCAAATCACAATCCTCAGATCTAAGCCTCCAGAGTAGCTCCAGTATCCACTGGCCCCTAACTGTCCCTGAGTTTTTATTTTACTGCTCAAGGCTAGTGCTCTACACTTGAGCCACACCTCCACTTTCTGCTCTTTGGTTGTTAATTTGGGATAAATCTCAGGACTTCCCAGCCAGGGCTGGCTTCAAACCTTGATTTTCAGATCTCAAACTCCTGAATAACTAGGATTACTGGCATGAACAACCAGTGCTCAGAACTGGATGTACTTGTGCTGAATGTCCTCCCCACCCCACCCCCAAAAATCCTGGCTTTCTCCCACAGCAACAGTTCCCACAACCTTTCTTTCCACAAAGCACTGTCAGAAGCTCTGCTGGAACTCCTGGAAATTTCTCCTCAAATGCATAGTGCCATTCTCCTTCCTCTCCTCCTTCCCTGACCAGCCCTCCTCTGGGCTACTCTCCTCACCTGGCCTAGCCTGGAGATAAGTCACGACTATTTCATGTCCTTCTCTGTCTCCACAGATCTCTCCTGTGATGCAGCTGCTGCCATCCTGAAAGGGGACAAACAGGAGCCCCATGCCCTCACCCCAGGGCCCAGCCCCTTGGCCCTCACATTCCTGCCCAGCAAACCAGGTGCCCGGCCCCAGCCTGAGGGAGCCAGCTGGGATGCAGGGCCAGGTGGGGCCCCTTCAGCCTGGGCAGACCCAGCAGAGGGCAGCCCAAACCCAGCACTTCTCCCCGAGGGCCTGCCCCTCCAAGCTCTGCCTGATGAGGGCCAGCCCCTTGACGTTCTGCCCCCCAAGGCCTCTCTGCCCACCACCCTGGAGCCCCGGATTGTGATGGGTGAGGAGACATGCCAGGCCACCCCATCACCTAGAGCAGCCTGGCCAACGCTCAGGGAACAGGAGGGTGGGCACACCCATCGGCACCCACCCCCTGAGCTTTGTTCTCAGGATGATCTTCCTGTGCCTTCCCCTACCCCAGACCTCGATGACTACTTTACACCTCCTGCTACCCCTACCAAGACCACCTATGACCTGCTCTCCTGCCCTGGGCCCCAGAGAGACACCTGGGCCCCAGAGGCTGAGCTTCTGGATGAGCTGCTAGACTCTAGGCCCACCTCGCCCTCGGGCTCCTACATCACTGCTGATGGGGACAGCTGGGCCTCCTCACCGTCCTGTTCCCTCGGCCTGTTGGCTCCTGCTGAAGGGCTGGACTTTCCCTGTGACATAGGCCTCTCCCCACTGGGGCCCACGGCAGATGAAGGAGAGCCAAGCCCTACCACACCCCCAGAGCCACTGTCTTCTGAGTCCAGCCTCTCCACAGACAGCAGCTCTTCCTGGAGCCAGGAAGGCCACTTCTTTGACCTGGACTTCCTGGCCAATGACCCAATGATCCCCGCAGCCCTCTTGCCCTTCCGAGGCAGCCTCCTCTTCCAGGTAGAAGCTGTGGAGGTGACACCACTGTACCCAGAAGAGGAAGAGGAGGAAGAGGAGGCGGAGGAGGAAGGGGAGGAAGAGGAGGAAGAGGTGGCAGCTGATGCTCCAATCCCAGATGGAGACTTGGCAGGGGAGGGTGAGGAGGACAGTACGTCCACCTCATTCCTGCAGTCCCTGTCTGACCTGTCCATCATCGAGGGCATGGATGAGGCCTTTGCTTTCCGGGATGATACGTCCGCAGCCTCCTCTGACTCTGACTCCACCTCGTACGCAGGAGCAGATGATGACAGGCTGTACAGCACAGAGCCCCACGCCCAGCCCAGCTCCCTACTGCAGGACAGTGCCCAGAAGACAGAGCAGGAGCACAGGGGTGGGACCCTGGGCCCTGAGGCCATCCCTCAAGTCTCAAAGGGAGACATTTGTCTCACACACAGCCAGCAATCCATTGCAGAGAAAGCAGAAAAGAGCCTCCCTTTAGTCCACAAGTCCCAGGGTATTGTGGAGCCTCCAATTCTGCAGGCAGCCCAGAACCTCCAGGTGGAGCCAGCTCCTAAAGCAATCCCTTGGGTAGGGGGCGAGAGAGATAGCTCTTGGGTTAGAGAAGCACCTGCCACCAGAGCACCACCACAACCCTACCAGGAGGGGCTAGGCGCTTCCTCAGGCTGGGAGCTCACTGGTACAGAGTCACCGCCAGCTCTGCAAGAAGCCAACCCTGTCTTGTGCCCAGACCTTCTTGAGAACTTGAAGGACAGTAGATTGAGCCTTCCCTCAGGCCCAGAACCTGAGGATGTGGCCACATTGGGGCCCCAGCAAGCTGATGGAGGTGTCACAGCACCCCAGGACTCTTCCTTGGCAGCACTTCCAGATGGAGATGGCACCTCAGCCCAAGAACCTATGGCTGAAGCCACACCAGGGCCCCAGGAGATGGAAGCAAGTGTCATCCTGGCCCAGGACTCTTCTATGGCAGCACTTCCAAAGGAGAATGTCACCTCAGACCCAGAGTCCATGATTGTGGCCACACTGGGGCTCCAGAAGACTGAAAAGGATGTCATCCAACGCCTGGACTCCCCTGTGACCATACATCCACTCCTACAAGACTCAGATTCCACCTTAGGCCCAGAACCAGTGCCTGAGAACACTTCCCAGGGCCAAGCAAAGGCAGGTTGCAGCCCAGGGACTACACCAGGGGCCTCAGGGGCCCGGCAAAAGTTAGATATAGCCTTAGGAGCAAGGCTGATATTGGAAGAAAAGGATGCAGCTCCTGGAGAATCAGAGTCTCCAGCCTCAACCCCAGCTGAACAAAATAGCCCAGCATCAGCACCAGAAGCTGCAACTCTCTGGGCACCAGGGAAAGAGGCAAGTCCCACCTTGGGCATAGAGGCCCCCAGGACCCCCAAGCCTGCCTCTGGTGCTGGAGATGAAGTAGCTGAAGGTCTCTTTGCACCTGAGCAGGAAGCATGGCTTGAAGGCCATAATGGGATCGAGACCCACTTGCTTGCAAAGGAGGCCATGGAATCTAAGAACATGGGAGGTGGAGGGCCTAAGCCATCAGCACAAGGACACGGACCTGGAGCAGCAAAGTCAGGGCCTCAAGACTCATGGGAGGCTCCCAAGGCATATTCTGCTGCCTGCCCGGAGGTCAGGCAGGCACACAGCCTGAGCCCAACTAGAGAAGGAAGGGGCCTCAGCAGCCAGGCCCTCCTGGAAGCCACACTTCCCATGATTTCCTGCCCAGAATCCCCAGCAAGGGCAGCATGTAGGCCAGACAGGGGCTGCCCCGAAGAGCCTGCTCCCACCTCTGAGAGACAGGAACCTGTGCTAGACCCAGGCAGTGGGAAACAGCATCAGACCACCCTCCATGTCCTTGACTCCCCTCCATCACAGACCCCAGAAAACCCTGCCAGGGATCTGCCAAGTACACCCCAGAGTAAGCCTATGGCTCCTGAGCCATCTGCTCCTGGTGTCCTTGCTGGGACAGCCTCACCAGCCCTGGGACCCTCTGCTCCTTGCCTGTGTCCTGGCCCCCAGGAAGACTCTGTGAAAGATGAAGGGGCCTCAGTCTCTGGGGACCTCCAGCTGTCTCAGACTGCTGCTGCTGCCACCTCAGGAACCACAAAGCCTCTGGGGGCCAGGCAGCGGGTAAGCCTCCCACCCCCCTGCCTCCTCCTCAGCCCCAAGGCGGCCCCCAAGGATGCCAAAGACACAGCCAAGAACCTGGTTCCCCGGATCTCAAGCCCCTGCCAAGTGCCTCCACCCTTGGGAGCCCAGAGCCCATCCAGCCCTGGACGGCACCCAGCCCCTGAGGATGAGACCCAGCAAGAGGATGAGGACAGCCTGGAGGAGGGTGAGGTGGGGCACAGGGTAAAGCTGGACTCTTCCAGGGAAGGCACTGATATCCCAGGGTTGGATTGGGGGGGGGGGGCAGGGACACATCCTCACACCATTCCCCCTTTCTCAGACTCACTGCAGGCCCCAGGCTCGGGCCAGCACTCAGACAGCCATGGGGAGTCGTCAGCTGAGCTGGATGACCAGGACACCTCAGCACCTCAGAAGGCACAGTGCCCAGCCCAGGTGCCTGGCTCAAGGGAGCAGGCAGGTCCTCAGGGTGGGTGGGCCCCCATGCTCACACAGAGGCTCAGCCCCCACCTTTTCACAGGCTCCAACAGGCAGCAGTGAAGCCATCGCCAAAGCCAAACAGAGCCGCAGTGAGAAGAAGGCACGAAAGGTAGGGTGGGGACTGGCTAAGACCCAATGGCCACCCAAGGAGGGCCTTCGGGTCAAGTCTATTAACCTTCTAAACAGCTAAGGTTGTAGTGTCATTAGTGACCCTCGCAGGACCAGCTGACACCTAAGGAAGCACAGCCATCCCTGGTCACCCGGGGAAGTCTGATACTGTCCTCTGCCTCAGGCAATGTCCAAGCTGGGCTTGCGGCAGATCCAGGGTGTCACTAGGATCACCATCCAGAAGTCCAAGAACATCTTATTTGTCATCGCCAAGCCCGATGTCTTCAAGAGCCCTGCCTCAGACACCTATGTGGTCTTCGGAGAGGCTAAGGTCCTGGCTGGGGTGCAGGGAGGTGGCAGGGCCAGGGTGGTGCACCGGAAGCGGACGGGCTCTGCTGAAGGATTCTGTCCCACGCTATAGATAGAGGACCTGTCCCAGCAAGCGCACAAAGCTGCTGCAGAGAAGTTCAAGGTGCCCTCAGAGGCCTCAGCCCTGGTGCCCGAGTCAGCACCTGGGCCTCGGGTAAGGCCAGCGTGCGAGGAGGAAGAGGAGGAAGAGGAAGAGGAAGAGGTAAGGCCTGGGGCCTGCCCCCTGCCTGTAGGCAGGTTCCGTCCTGTTTCAGGAGGCCCTGCTGGCACCTGGGAGATGGGCCTGAGGAACCTCACTGTTCCCTCACCAGGTGGATGAGGCTGGGCTGGAGCTACGGGACATTGAGCTGGTTATGGCGCAGGCCAACGTGTCCAGGGCCAAGGCTGTGCGAGCGCTAAGGGATAACCACAGTGATATCGTCAATGCCATCATGGTGAGCATGTGTGGGTCCCCCCTTCCCTCCAGATGCCTCAGCTGTGACAGGGAGAGGCCCACCCTCAATGTGACCCTCTGTACATTTTTCTGCAGGAACTGACCATGTAGCTGCTGGTTGGAAGCTGGTCCATCCTGCCCCTCTCCCAACTCTGCTGCCCAATAAACCAGTGTCCTACCATCACCTTCTGGTGACCCCTCAGAACTTTTTTGTGTCACATTGCCTGCTGTCATCCATTTAACATCCTCTGGTGTCAGCTTACCACTATGTCCCCTGAAGACCCTCTGGCACTCCCTCATCACCCTCTGCCACCATAACACCCTGTGGCATCCCTCAGGCCCAGCTGGGCTGAGCATCTGCCCCATGTCTTCTCTGCTGGCAAAGGCCAGTGAGTGACCCACACGCTGGCCACATCGAGGATGGGCATCCTGCTTCTTTTGACTCCACACAGAAAGCCCTGCAAGGCTGTGCTGCATGTGTTTTTTTTGTTGTTGTTATTGTGTGTGTGTGTGTGTGTGTGTGTGTGTGTGTGTTTGGGGGGGGGGGTGGCACCTGAGACACCTAGGCACAAATAGGCTTTTGCAAGAGGGATAGGAGCCCAGAGGACAGTGTGTGGCTTGTCTTCTGCCTCTCCTGATGCTCCCAGGATAGCTACCTGCACATACATCTAGAGATGGCACTACCAGTGTCCCCGCTGTCCCTGGCTCAGGGTCAGTTCTGACCAAACACACAAAGCGAGACAGGGAAAAATCTCTGTAAAACACTGTGTATAGGTACGTCCTGTTCTGAAGCTATGAACACAAGGATCTGCTACCCCACCTGCTCAGGGGGGGTTCCTGCAGGACCCTCTGGATACAACTGGGGTACCCATGGAGCCTCAAGGGCTTTACCTCCCCCTACCCCTCCATGACTGCAGAGCCAGGCCCCTGCCTGGTGTGCCGTCTCAGCCCCATGGGCCAGTAAGCTTCTGCATGTGCCCTCAGGTCAAGACAGAGCTGAAGATCTGGCATAGGGAGAGCCCAGGACATGCTGCCATGGAGTTGCCTTCCTCTCCTCCCTGTATCTGAGGGGTCTGGAGGGCAGAGGCCAGAAGGAAGCCAAAGGGGCTTGGGACAGGTGCTCATTAGGGATGGAGAAAGGATGGGACAAAAACATGGGCAAGGGGACAGGGTTGCTTCACACTGCCCGCACCACATGCAAGAGACCCCAGAGCATGTGCCCTGCCCCATGCCCACAAAGCCAAGTCCCAATCTCCAGCGTCTTCTGCCTGCGCTGCCCCAGTCCTCTAAACTGGGCCTAGCTCTGGATGCTTTAGGCAGACATGGCCCCAGGACCAGACACCCAACTGACTTAGAAACATGCTTGGCAACTAGAGATTAAATTATTCACATTGTAGTAAACTTCTTTTTAAGGTCTCTGAGAGTTACAAGAGGAACATCATGTGCAAAATTAACAGTTGTCCAGGGCCGGGTCCACAGGACTGGCCCTCCCCGAGCAGGAACATGGTGCCCGGCATGGCTGGGACTGGAGGACAAGGCACCAGGGTGCGTGTCCAGTGGCAGCTCCCCGCTCCTTCACAGTAGAGGACCTGGCTGCCTGGGGCCTCCTGTGCCTACAGCCCTTCTCCAGCCCGGGCTGGTGGGAAAGGCTGACAAGAAGAGCTGGGCATTTCCTCCCAGGAAGGCTTGGGACCATGCAGAAGGTGTACACGACCCCCATTGCCCATCAGGCCGAGTCCTGGTCCATGCTGCAGCCCAACGCCTCAATGTCGCTACTGATGTCCGAGATCATGCGGTCCCACTCGTCCCCCTCGGAGGGCACAGACCGGTCATCAGGGCTGCCCGTGGTCCTGTTCCCATTGGTGGTGGAGGTGGAGGTGGTACTCAGTGCCCGACGGTGCCTGCCGAAGCTGTCTGTGATGATACCACGGCCGTCCTTCACACCGATGGTCTCCAGAAAGTTCTCAAAGTGTTGGCTGTCCTTCTCGGGGATGAAGGGCCTCAGACCTGCCAACACAGGACCCCAACAGAACACCCCACGGGTTTCAGACCACAGCTTGCCCTGGGCACAACGTGAAGACCCTAACATCTCATGTGCTGTGCTCGGGCACTGACAGGCAGCCCAGCCCACTGCCTGTTGGCCTCGTGCTCCCTAGCCTTGGTGTAGCACAGGCCTGGGCCCATCCCCTCTCATTTTCAGAGCCCCATTTTACAGGTAAGAAAGCCTAGAGCAGCGCTCCAAGCCACCCCCTGCTATCAGCAGCAAGGTGCTCTCCCCAGAGTCAGGCTGCAGGCCAAAGCTAGTGACCTGGACCAGCGTGACCACCCCAACTAGGAATCTGCCCTCACTGTCAGAAGGCTTAGTGCCTGGAGTCTCTCAAGACCTCTGAACACTGATGCAAGTGGCCAGGCCGGGCTCCGTCCAGAGGCAATGAGAGCCAGCTCCATGGAAGGGCTTGGTGCGCCCCTACAATAGAGCTAGAGCCCTGGAGCCCCCAGCATGGCATGCTGTGCTGTCAGCACCTGCAGGGTTTTCAAATGATGAGAAGTGGTAGAGGGCGCTCTGGGGCTGGGAACTGCCTGCCTGGCAGCACAGCATCATGTGGCAATGGGGCAGGGCTCTAAGCAGTGTACATCCCAGGCTCAGTAATTCCCACTTCCTCTCTCCCTCTCCCTCCTCACCCTTTCTACCAATACAGGGGCTTAAACTCAGGGCTTTTTCTTGCTCATGGCTGGCACTCTACCACCTTGACTACACCTCTAGCTCAGCTTTTGCTGGTTCATTGGAGATGGAATCTCGGACTTTTCTGCCAGGGCTAGCCTTGAACTGTGATCCTCTAGGTCTCTCAGCCTCTTGAGTGGCCAGAATACACCACTGGTTCCCCAGCTACAATTCCAATCCCTTCTCAAAATGAGGCACTCGCCTGAAAGCAAAATGGGGGTTGCTAGAGGTATATTCTGAACTGGGTGCCAGGATCAGGGACCTGCTAGATGACTGACCTAATGAGGCCATGGGGAAAAGCTAAAGGTCAGAATGAACTTCAGCAGGCATCTATCTTCCTTCAGCCAGCAAGGAGCCCTGAGCAGGCAGCCAATGATCACAAGACCAGCAAAAAGGGAAATAAACCTATCTACCTTGTTCTATTGAGAAATAGGTACCTTAACTAGTTACTGTCAACTCAGTGTTCTGAGTGTTCACAGAAGGAAAAGCCATGGCCATACCATGTCACCGCAATGTGTGCGACAGAGTTTGTGTAGGTCCAAGCCACAGATGTCTGTGGCAGGCTTGCCAAATACTTGGAGCTAATGCACTGAGTTACTTAATGAAGGCCAGTCCCTTCCACCAACAATGATGTTTCCTCCTCCCCGACTAGCAAACTCTTACATACCATCAGAACCCACTCAGTGTCACTTCCTTGAAAAGCCCTGACTCCCCTCCTGGCCTGTTCACTTGGGTAATAGGATTCTGCTCAGTCTTAGCCTTAGTAAACACCTTTCTGCTCCCTGGCAGGGAACCTCAGCCATATCTTGATGACTGCCATTACTGATAGATTTTCCCAGCGGGGACCAGAGGCCCTCCAGGTTCTGCTCACCGAGCAGCAGGAACTTGCGGCTATCTCCATAGAGCTGCCGTAGGCTGATGCAGAACTCGTGGATGGAGGCCCCATTGCGGTATTCATGCAACAGCGCCGCAAACTGCTGGATCTCCTGTGACGACAGCTTGGTGCGCAGCTAGAAGAGCAGAGTGAGCAAGTGTGGGCACCCAACCTCACCATAGCAACTGCCCTGCTCCCAAAGCAGGCTCACCCCAATACCAGGGCACCAGGCCAGCACTGAGGTATACCACCCACAGGAATCCAGTCCTCAGCCTTGGCTTCGGGTCACCAGAAGAACAGAGGGGCAGCTCCACACTCCCAAGCCCACACTACCTGAGGGGACTGAGTAGGGGCTAGGGGAGCTGGGCAGGGAGCAAAGACCAATGCTCTTGGGGCACAAACCGAAGACTAGGATTGTGTGGATAAAACTAGCTAAGATCAAACCGAAGAAGACTGGGATTGTGTGGATAAAACTAGCTAAGATTCTTTGTACATAACCTTTATAATAATAAAAAATAAAACTTTAAATTATAGTAGCACTTATTAAATAATCCTTACGTTTTCCTACTTTTTTTTTTTTTTTGTCATAGGACTTGAAATCTGGGCCTGGGCACTCTCCTTCAGCTCTTCAGTGCTCTACCACCTGAGCCACAGTGCCCACTTCCAGCTTTTTCTATTTATGTGGTGCTAAGGAATCGAACCCAGGGCCTTTTGCATACGAGGCAAGCACTCTACCACTGAGCCACCTTCCCAGCCATTGATTTAGTTATTTTCATTATGTTTGTAGTCTATTATGTCCTGAATAGGTGTGTGTCTCTTTTTATTTTTTTGTCGGTTGTGGGGCTTGAACTCTGGGCCTGGGCATTGTCCCCGAGCTCTTCAACTCCAGGCTAGTGGCTCTACCACTTTGAGCCATAGCACCACTTCTGGTTTTCTGGTGATTAATTGGAGATAAAGTCTCAGAGACTTTCCTGCCCAGGCTGACTTTGATCTCAGATCTCAACCTCCTGAGTAGTTAGGATTACTGGTGCCTGGCCAGGTGTGTATCTATATCAAAGATGTATAGCAATAAAAATGGCTGAAGTGATATATATTGCTAGAAATAAAATTTGTTATTTATTTGGGAAAACAAAACAACTAGGTCAAATGTGGACCACGCATAGCAGGAGGCACACTTCCCACCCAGGGTCTGTCCCCAGGGTGGCCAGGCTGATAGTCTATCTCTCTCAATTCAGGCTCACCAACTCACACCCCCAGAACATCCCAGGGAAAAGCGCAACATTAGCAAAAGCAACTAGACAGCCCGCCCACAGCCCAGCGGCTCCGCCCACTACCGTCATCATGTAATCCTGCAGCAGCTCCGTGGCGCTGGTGCTCAACTCGCTCTCACTCACAGTCTTGCCATGGGGTGAAGTCTGCATGCAGAAGGACAGGGGCGGCAGGCCCCCCCCATCCACAGGGTCAGGGAAGCAACTGCAAAGGAACACAGCGAATGGCAGGCAGCTTCCTTACCGCTGCATCCCACACCCACTTCAGTTGCCTGGTGAGAGCTGTGGGGTGCCAGGGACCTC